GTGGGTTTCCGTGAACACAGCCAGCTTTCCCACCTCCACCCTTGGCAGCTACTTCACACTCCTGACTCATCCCCAGCCCACAAGCAGTGAGGAGCCCCACAACTTTTCCTCATGAAGTGCTGCTAAGCCACATCTCTCCCACCTTATTTTAAACGAAAGTGCCAGGATTTATATTTATCCTGGTAGTTTCATCTGGCGTGAAGCCGACAATCACTCAGCCTGCCAAGGCAGGCTTCCGGGTCCCAGTCTGACATCTGAACCCACTTCCAGCTAAGGTAGAAGTCTGATCCTCCCGTCTTGCCGGCAGAGCTGGGCACAGCCCCCCGGGGCAGTCAAAGGGGTTTCCTGCCGGGGGGGGGGGGGACCTTGCTCCTTCCCAAGGTCTCTAGATGTGTGGCTGTCGAGGGGGCCACAACGCTCCTGGGATGGGGGAAGTCATGTAGTCAAGTATAGCCACGTGGTACCTGGGAAAGCTTCAGGTGCTGGTGGTCGTTCTAGCAACTACTTTCAAAACTGGCTTGAAATATTACAGATCAGAAGTCCCCACATCTAGATGGCCATCAGGATCACATGGGAACTTTTAAAGGAACAAATTCCCAGTCTCCATCTCCAACATTTCTGAACCAGTCCAGGGTGGAGCCCGAGAATTTCTGTTGTTTTTTAAGTTCTGGGGTTATTGAATCCATACCGGCTCTTAAGGATCCCCACTGCCCTTTCTGACTCCCCACAGACAATTGCTTCCAGAAGTCTGCCTCTTTGTGGCTCTCTTCTGCAAGGGCCTCTCTGCATGGACTGGGACATGGCCCTTTGACCATGGTGTCTGGCCAAGAACAAGTATCAGTTCTTTAACTAATGGCCCAGCAAAGCTGGGGCGGGGGTGGGGGAGTGGGGAAGGGTGTCCAGGACCCCTTACATCTCTCCTGCCTTGGTCTTCCACCCCATCACCCCACCATGGCTCCTTGGTTCTAGAGGATGGAGAAGACAAGGCACAATGGGAAGTGAGTTGGGACTTTGTTCTCTGAGGTTCTACCAGGTTCCACCTCAAAGATTAGGTGAGGTGGTGAGGCCCTGACCTCAGGTATAACGCTTAAGTTGGCACTAACAAACCCAGTCGTCAAGAGAGAGGAAATTTTAAATATACATATTTTTAAGTTTATTTATTTATGTTGAGAGAGAGAGAGAGAGCACATGTAGGTATGTGAGCAGGGTAGGCTGCAGAGAGAGAGGGAGAGACAGCATCCCAATCAGGCTCTGTGCCATCAGTGCAGAGCCTGCTGCAGGGCTTGATCCCACAAGCCATGAGATCACGACCTGAGCCGAAATCAAGAGTTGGATGATTAACCGACGGAGCCACCCAGGCGCCCCAATGTAGAGGATATTTTAAAGCAGTATTTTAAAACAGAAATGAGCTCCAAAAAATCCACGATCGGGGCAACTGCGTGGCTCGGTCGGTTGAGCGTCCAACTTCAGCTCAGGCCATAATCTCGCGGTTCGTGAGTTTGAGCCCCATGTTGGGCTCTGTGCTGACAGCTCAGTGCCTGAAGCCTGCTTCCGATTCTGTCTCCGTCTCTCTCACTCTGCCCCTACCCTCACTATACACTGTCTCTCTGTCTCTCAAATATAAACATTAAAAAAAATTTTTTTTTAATCCATGGTGAACAAAATATCAAAATTATAAATAAAGACAGGATCAGTAATAGTGCCAAGCCTTACGGGAGCCTGAAGTAAAAGGAAAACTAAGTCACAGAAACAATAATGCAGAAGGAGGGAGAGTTTAGAGCATTTATGACTCCGCTCCCTTCCTACCAGGCTGCAAGTTGGCTCTGGTCCCTCTTCAGTCCCCACTGCCACAGCTCTTGGAAGCAGACCCTCTTGCAGAGACAGTCACAGCTCTTGCTGGTTTGGGTAACCACCCTCCCTGCCAGCACAAGTGTAGACGTCTTAATGGCTCCTGCTGCTCTTCCTAAGACACTTTACCATCCCCTGCTGTTTTCTTCACCCTGCCCACTCCTGGGTAAACTGTCCCTGCATTCAACTCCCCCACTAGAAAGCAAGACAGAAAAACAAAGTCAAAAGACAGGAGGGAAGGAAGGGAGGGAGGGAGGGAGGGAGGGAGGAAGGAAGGAAGGAAGGAAGGAAGGACGGACAGAGCAGGAAAAAAAATATTTAAAATTTTAAACTATCCTAAGACAGAAAAGATCTTACATCCATGACACAAGAACAGAATGCCTTTTTTTTCCCTAAGGAAAGAAATAATCGGAAAATAATAAAGAGCTCTTAGAAATTAAAAATATGATCAAAGAAAAAAGAATCAGTAACATTCAGAAAATAAAGTTGAGAAAAGTCTCCCAGAAAATGGACCAAAACCAACAAGCAAACCCTGCAAATATACAACAGAAAAGAGAAGTTCAGTGATCGATCCCTGAGATGAACGTTGAATCAAGGAGACCTACAGAAAGAAGGAAATAGGCAGAGAGAAGATTGTCAAAGAAATAAAACAGGAGGACTTGCCAGAACTGGTGGGTGTAAGTCCCAGAGTCAGAGCACATCACTGCACTTCCAGAATGTGGGGGTTACACCCCAAGAGCTTCCAGAGCGGGGAGGGAGCACATATAAACACCAAGAGTAAGAAGGACATCAAACCTCTCAACAGTGACACTGGAAGCCAGAAGATGCCTGCAAACCTCTGAAGGAAAATTATTTTTAATCTAGAATTCTATATTCAGCCAGACCATCAATCAAGTGTAAGGATAGAATAAAGGCATTTTGGGGGCACCCGGGTGGCTCAGCCGGTTAAATGTCTGACTTCAGCTCAGGTCGTGATCTCACGGTTCGTGGGTTCCAGCCCTGTGTCAAGCTCTGTGCTGACAGCTCAAGAGCCCGGAGCCTGCTTCGGATTCTGTGTCTCCCTCTGTCTCTGCCCCGCCCCCAATTGTGCTCTGTCTCTCTCAAAAATAAATAAACATTTAAATAACTCAAAATAAAAGAAAAATATGTTTTTTAAAAAAGGCATTTTCAGATATG